GTGAGATCAAAAGATCATAGATCCAGAGCAGGGAGGGACCTCAGGGGCCATCTTAAAAAAAGGCCACACAGGTAGGGAGCATCAAGAGGCAGAATTTGAACAGAGATCCTCAGACTCCAGAGGCAGTGTTCTTTCTACTGCGTCATGCTGCCTCTTAAGAGAAGAAAACTGAAGGATCTGCAGGGTTTGAAAGTGAAAGAGGCCAGGGACTGAATTTGGGGAGGAGAAATTTGGGAGAACTAGAAGAAATGAAGGAGACCAATTCACGTGTAAGAAGAAAGAAGAAAAGGATTAAGAAGGACCTGAGAAGAACAGGAGGCAAGATCTGTAAGAAAAGGTAAATGAAACTAACTGGTAAGTTAAATTAAGAATGGAGTAAAAGGAAGGAAGCTGAATGTGGATGTCAAGTTATTAAAACTTAAGTATAAAATCATATACGGGAATAAAACTATAAAGTGTTGTTAAAAGAGTATAAACTACCAGTTAAAAATAGAGAACAAGTATAATTGTGCAATGACCACCACTGAGGATGTTCTAGTTTCATTTCTCCCAGTGCCACATGGCTGCTACTTAGGCTTCCATTTAAAGTAATTCAAGTCAAACTAGGTTTTATGCTTTAAAGTAAATAAACATCTACCTAGGACTTGGAGTGGATGAAATTGTTTTTTAAAACTATTTCAACATCATTGGTTTCTTTTGTAATCTTACGTATTTTGTTTTATGCATTTGAAATGGAAGTCTGAGAAGGGGTCCATAGGCTTCACCAGACTAACAAAGGGGTTCATGACATAAAAAAGTCTAAGAACCCTTACTCCAGAACGTCTCGAGGATTGCAGCTCTCCACAATTTTATTGTAATAGAGATACCTTAATGTTTCCTTGAGTTCAAAAGTTCCTCGTGATGCTAATAAATAGCATCATTAAGAACCCTGCTGATTTGGATAAGGGTCAGTACTAATTAGATTAATGCCAGGACACAGTCATTAACTAATCAGAAATGTTAACAGGGTTCTTAAAGTAAGATGAGGGTAGTGGATAGAAAGAGTTCAAGTCCTGCCTTGGAAAGATGCTGGACACCTGGCCAGGCAATTCACTAAACTTCCCAGTGTACCTGAGCAACTCTCTGAAGACTACAGTTGCAGAGAAAGTGCTCATAGGCATTAAAGGAAGTTCCTCAACAGAAGCTATCTACAGGGACAAATCATTGGTTCAACAGGAAAAAAAATAAAAGGTTCAGCATTTTAGAGCTGAAAGGGACCTTAGAATCAGAAACTTCGCTGGTTCTCTCGGTCTCTATGTGGCAAGTCCCTTAGGGGCTGGATCACTGGTCTCCAAAGTGGGGGCCCCCAAAGGGGCTACTCCTCTTGGGTGCTTGGGCCTGGCGGTGTGACTCTGGATAAGTCAGTCTCTCTGTTCCTCAGTTGCAGCCTTTGTAAAATGAAAACCTGGAGCCCCAATGTTCCTTCTTGCTTTACATCTATGATCCTAAGAACGCCAGGGGTCCAGGGTGAGAAGATGAGCAACACCCCGTTCTCCAACCCAACCACATCTACCCTTCACCCATGACAGCCTAGGGGGCTGTCCTCCCTTACTCCACCTTTTCCCCATAAGGCACAATCTCCCAGCCTTCCCCTGGAGTCCCTCACGGCACAAAAAACCTAACTAGCCCCAAGTATCTATGCCAGCAGTCTGGGGCAGGTGCCATTAAGAAAACCCCTCACCTAGCCACCAAGAAAAGGAAACTGACAGGAGCATATGATCAAGGAAACTTGGAAATTCCTGGCCTAGCTGGTAGTCAAGGTCCTTGGCGGCTATCCCAAGCCTACGAATTTTCACAGTAGTTGTTCTGTATTTACAACTAAGAGTAGCAGAGTGCCACACACTGAAGCAGGAATAAGGAGGGGGGTCAGGACATAGGGAGCTCCCAGATGAGTCAATCTCTCCTCCCAATGCAGGTCAGCACCTTCTCTGAAACTTAAAAAGAGTCTTAGAGCATTGCCTGGGCACTGAGGGGGTTAATAAGTAACTTGCCAAGGACACCGAGCCAGTGTGTGTGTGTCAGGGGCAAGGCTACAGGTTTTCCTGGCACATGGGCCAACTACCTGTGCACTACAGCATACTACCACATAACAGTACACATTTAATATATATTGGGTGTTTTGCATCATAGGGTTCAAGAGAATGCCCAGATCAAAGAAATTCTGATATTAATAAACAAATATAAAATTCTCTGTTACCAAAATTTTTGCTAAAGTTGTCTTCCTTAACTACCCCTACGACAGCTCTCTCCTTCTGGACTGTTTCATCATTCATTCGTTCATCATTCATACTAATCCATGACACTGCTTTGTGATAACTCATGTGCTTATCTTGAATCGATCACTAAGCACTTATTAAGGACCTACTGTTTACCAGGCACTGAGAATAAAAAGACAAAAAAATGAAACAGTCATTTTTCTCCAGGAACATAGTCTAACAACAGAGATTTGTCTCTACAAGACACACATAACAGAGCAGATACAAGGAAGCAGGACCAGGAAAGCTTTCCAGCAGAAGATGGTGTTGGGCTGAAGGAAACTCAGTATTCTAAGGGGCAGACAAGGGATGGAATGTCATGGGTGAGGAACAAGGAAGCCGGCAGAGTTGGGCCTTGGAGTGTGTAGAAGGGCAGAATGTCTAAGAATGCTAGGATAGGAAAGGCCCAAGTTGTCAAACTCTCAGACGCCAGGCAGAGGAGCTGACGTATAATCTTAGAGGGACCAGGTTGCCACTGGAGTTTACTGTCTAGGGAGTGACATAGTCAGGAAAACCACTTAGGTGCCTGTGTGGTGATCAGAGGCTGAACAAGGGTGCTGGCTGTGGGAGTGGAGTGAAGAGGACAAACGTTAGAGGTGTTGTGGAGATAGAAACAAAAGTTTTAGTAACTGAACTCCTTGAGTAAAACAAGGATCTGAACTCAGTGCTGTGCTGTTTTAACACTTTAGATGGTGCAAATAACGGCATACGTGGCGTGCTCATTAAATAAGAAGACTTTCACAAAGTCGGGAGCCACAGTTAGGAGCTTTATAGGCTACAGCATTAGACTGAATCCAATCAGGCGAAATCCAAAATGAAAACGTAAAGTCTTACTGAGGCAGCACGGGAGAGTGGATAAACCTTCCGGGGTTAGGAGTCAATAGGACCCACCTTGGGACACTTACTAGTTAAGTGACCCTGGGCAAGTCACTTAAGCTCTAGATGTTGCAAACAGCTCCCACATCTTGTCAACTAAGCCATACAGAGGTTAGATCTGCTGAGGGTGTTCCCATAGGTTCCTTCCGAAATCACAGGCCCTTCTTATAAATGGAGTCTTATAGATACACTTCACATATAATGAGAAAGCACGATTAGACAACAATCTGAAGGGAAAAAAAGACCTTGAGTTTTTTGCGGACTGTAAATTCAGTATGAATTAACAGTGTGCTGGGGCTGCATGGAGAGGCACAGCCTCCAAGAACACAGAGTCAGTTCAACTGTGCCATGTCCTGGTACAACCACAGTTCCACACACCACATCTTAGGAAGGATACTGATATTGATAATCAAGAAAGTGTCCAGATGAAGGCAACTAATCAAGTGACAGGCATTTTTAAAGAGATAACTATGTGACAGGTGATGAAAAGCCTTGAATTCAAATCACGATGGGCCTGAAGGAAAGGGCAAGATTTTGCCTGCAGAAGAGAAGACTTAGGGGGTACAGTGGAAAGGGAGCTCTATGTGGAGCCAGAGGACCTGAGCTGCTCTACCAGTCCCGTCACCTGGGCAAGGATTAGTCTAAGGCTCAGTTTTTTCATTTCTAAAATTAGTTGGACTAAATGATTTCCACTCGTCCCTTCCAACTCTCTGACATGCCAGTTCTTTTCAAGTACTTGAAACACTGGCATATGGAAGAGGAATGGGTTTTGTTTGGCCCCCTAGGGCAGATCTAGGAATAACAGATCAAAGCTGCAGAGGTAAATTTGCCTAGAAGTGGAATAGGCTGCTTCAGGAAGCAGTGGATTCCACCTTACCGGAAGTTTTTAAGCCAAGGCTGAAAGATCATTTGTCCACAAAAGGTTGTAGAAGGGATTCTTTCCCAGGTAGGGGTTGGACTGGATGGCCAGAGAGGGCCCTGCCAACCATGAAAACCAGGGATCCCATAACTGGGCAGGGATAGCTATTTTCTCCTATTCCCTCCCAGACCTTTACAAAATAGACCTTTACCAAACAGTGGTCTTCCAAACCTTCCAAGCCCTGGGCCTCAGTTTCCTCGGCTGTAAAATTAAGGCGTTGGATTAGATGATTTCTCAAGAGTCGCGTCAGACAATAACAAGCAGCTGATTTTAAGTCGCTTAAGTTAAAAAAGTTAAACTTTCCTATCGCTCACGGACTAGAGGGTTAATGTGCAGTTAAGTGGCCAGAAGCAAAGGGCACGGACACTGGGCATCACCTAGCCAGCCCTGAAGCCCCTTTCTGCTCTTAAAGTTTCCCGGGCAGGGCGGAGGCCCAGCTGGGGGTGACCCGAACAAGGACCATGGCTTCTGCAACCGGATCACCCCAAGAAAAGCCATCTCGGCTCTGGGGTCCAGGCTTAGCCCGCCGCACCGCACCCCGCAATCGGCGCTTGACCTCCTTTCCCGGCTCCGGCCCAGCCCGAGGTCCTCCCCCGACGCTCGCCTCCCGGGGGCACGGCCCTCCCGGGGACCCGCGGCTGTTTGCTCGGGGAAGGACTTCTCGGCCCCCGGGGCGACGGCTGCCAGGCCGGGGAATGGTCCCCGAGGGTTCGCCGGCTCTCCCGGGGCATCTCGGCCCCCAATCCCCGCGCCGGGGTCCGCGGGGGCCACCCGGGCCCCTCGAGGTGGAGCCGGGGAGGGGTAGGGGAGGCCGGGCCGGGATGCAGGCCCCGCGGGGGTGTGTCGGGCCGGAGCGGCCAGGCCGGGCCTCCCCGTCCTCTCCCGGCGGGGCCGGCGGCGGATTCACTCACCGCGGGCCGTGGGGGACGGGTAGAGCTTCTCCGCCTTGTGCAGGAAGCGCAGGGCCCGGTCGCGGTTGCCGGCCTCCAGAGCTTCCCGGGCGATCTCGATGCATTTCTCCGCCTCGTCCCGGTTCCCCTCCATGGCTCGCTCCTTCTTCCGTTTCCTCCGGCAGCGCAGCGAGAAGGGGGCGGAAGCCAGAGCGGCGAAGGCGGGGGCGGAGGCGGGGGAGGGCCGGGCCGGGGCGGGGCGCCCGAGGTGGGATAGGGGCCGGGCCGGGCCGCAGGCCTCCGGGGACAGGCGGCTCCGCCTCCTCACGGGCGGCCTCCCGATCCGGCGGCGGCGGCGGCTAGGCTTAGGGCAGGCCGCATCCCGGACCCCGACCCCGGCCGGGACTAGCGCCCAGGCGGGCCCGGCTCAGGCAGTGCGGGGGCTGTCGAGGCTGGAGTGCCGAAACGTCCGAAGCGAACCGCAGAGCCAGGCTGGGAGGGCGCAGGAGTCGGGCGGAGCCTACCACAGGGGCCCGACGGCGGGGGAGGGGCACGGGTGATACCACCGAGCCCCCGGAGGGGTGGGCAGGCCGTCACCACTGCGGCGCCCAGGGCTCTGACGGCTGGGTCCCCCGGCTAGGCGGGAGCCCCGCCTCCACGCCGAGAAAGCCCTGGCCCGGGGAATGTGGCAGGGACGGGGTGACTGCAACGGGGGCAGGTTAGGGTTTGGGGAGGCCCCCGACCGGGCGTTCGGGATTGTCGTTCTCTAGGGGGCGCTAGGAACCTGGTTTCCCTGCCGAGCGTCCCTGGAGTGCACTCGGCCGAGGGTGTAGTTACCGCCTCCATGGTAACCCAAGACTGGCGTGCGGGAGGCGGGGCCGACAGAAGGCCCGCCGCCGGCCCGCAGTCACTGCGCACATACCACGTGCCATGTAGGAGAGTGGCTGCTTTAACCCCGGCTCCAGCTAGCTTTCCTTCCCCAAATGCACCGTTTTATCCAGATTTGAAACAGCTGATAAACCCCAAAACCTAAAAGTGCAAATGCATCACTTAGCTGGCAAGATGTTTTAACAAAAATTGCTTTATTAGCCATCTGCAGCAAATTGCCATGTCCTTAAAACCACTTATACTATTTTGATAGTAAAAAGGACTTCTCAACATGCAGCACACATTTTTATGCCCATTTTATTAAGGTGTCAATACAGCTTTCACTAGTCAGCCTCGCACCGTATCCCATGGCAACTGACTTTCTGCAGGCTGCTTAAACAGAACACAAGTGTTGGTCAAGCCCCACTAAACTGGCAACAAGTCCTAATACAACTAATCTCATTTTGAACATTCAGATATTTCGGGAAGCCCATTTAGTAAAGAACCAGTGATCTACTGGTAAAGGGTCTTATTTTATACCAATTAAATTTTGAGATCCATTTAAGCACAAGCCATTAAAATGCAGGTTTTTGCTGTGACATCCTGATTTGCACTTGTATCTGCTATGATGTATATGTATGTATATATATATATACACACACACATGCATACACAAAATGGTAGGAATTTTAAAAATCTGAGTATAATCGCACAAATGTGTCTCGTCCAAGAGTATAAAAAAAATATTCACAACTACACATTGAGAAAACCTGAAAAAAAAAAGCCATAATACTACGTTTGGTAAAGAAACCACAAATAAAGCTGTGACAAGTGGTTTTCTGGTAAACACTAGTCTTTTACAAAAAGGGATTTCATACAGGTATACAAGATCCACTCATTAATAGCTGCCATCTTGCTCTCATAGGCCTAACGCTTTCCTTTGTGGGCCCCTACCCACAGTTTGGTCTAACTCATCCAAGGATTATGTTTCAGGATGAGTTGCTTATGTCTTCATCTACCTTTTTGTGGTGACCTACAGTACTATCTTTTCCTAATTACGATGACATTTGGCAAAAGTTATGACATTAGTGGGGACACAGCTACCCAGGTATGTACAGAGACTGAGAAGCTTCTCAACCTTTGAAAAATGCTGTCTCAACCTTTACTAATTTTCAATGCATCACCTATTTTTAGAGCTGCAGATGCATTTGATTTGCTTCTGGGTTGAAGTTACTTCCCACTCTAGTTGATCAAGAGAAACCTACGTTTAAGTTACTAGGCCATGTATTTTCAGATGGCTCATCTGACTTACGAGCATTTGGATCAAAACAGAGCTATCTTTCCGCTATGAAACACAAAAATTCAAGAAACAAAACTTGTTTTGGATATGACCTTTATTGAACTTATCCACCAGAGTGGAAATAAAAGTCTGTACAAAACCAAATGTTTGTTACTATAACTTCTGCATCACAATTAATATCCAAACAGATTTTTAAAAACAGTCAACTCAATCAAAACCCACTACTTCAGAATCAATAGCTTCTTTGAAGCCACAGTAACACTTAAATATGGTTAAGACTTCAATGCAGAAATTTGGTTGGCTGGAAAGCTAAGTAAGCTTCCAACTTAATCAAAATAGAATTACAAAAAGGCAAAATTGTGGTTTTCACAGAGATACAGTCCACTGGAAATCACCAACACTGGACAGTTGTTAAGAGTATTTAGAGTCCTGAGATAACATGGAATCCAGGCATCCTTTAAACAGTCTTCTGTTGTCCTTTCTTTCCAATCAGAGATTTATGGATGTGTGGAATCACACCTATAAGAGTGTTAAAGGATTAGAAGCTTTCTTTTTTTAAAGCATGATGCAAATTAACTATTTAAGAGCACTAGCATAGAATCTGTATCTGCCCCTCTTTATAGTTCTTAATTAAAAGGCTAATTAGTCCAACTTGAAAAAAGAACATTATTTTTCCATTTCAACGAAAGCAGACTGCTTACACGCAGAATACAAACTGCCTGAATATGGCAGGGCAGCTTTTCTACAGGCCGACACACTAAATTGCAGCTCTACAAAGTCATTAGTAACGTCTACGCTAACAACCGAGTGCAAGCTTGATCAAAACTTCACAGCGGTTTTCCCTCTGGCAACCGTAGGTAAGGTCGGCTACGTACCACCACCAGCAATTGTTGCCTTAATAAGAGAGTCCAATTCTTCATCCCCACGAATGGCGAGCTGCAAGTGGCGAGGGGTGATGCGCTTCACCTTTAAGTCTTTCGATGCATTTCCTGCCAGCTCCAGGACCTGCGGGGACGAGCCTTCCATCAATGCGCCAACTTCGCTCCCCCGCGCCGGCCCTCGCCGCCCAGTGACCCCGGGCTCCCCCTGGCGTCCAGACGCGGCCGCGGCCACCTCCCCTCCAGCCCCTCCGCCTCTTCCCGGCGCTCCGGGAGCCGCAGCGGCCCTTTACCTCTGCAGTTAGGTATTCCAGGATGGCCGCACTGTACACGGCGGCGGTGGCTCCCACGCGCCCGTGGCTCGTTGTCCGGGACTTCAGATGCCGATGAATGCGGCCCACTGGGAACTTGGAGAAAACGCCAAGAATGCACAAAAACGATCCGGCCGGGCGGGGGCCGGGCTCGCCGGCACTCCCGCCAAATCTCGACCCGGGCGGGGACAGCGGGTGCCCGCGCTCCCACCGCCGCCTCCCTCCCGAGCCCACGAGCGAGGGGGGGGGACCCGCCCGCCCGCCCGCCCTCCCCAAGGGGCGATCCCCACTGACCTGCAAGCCAGCCCTCTGCGAGCGGGAAACCGCCTTTGTCTTCGCCTTTCCGGAGTCCTTCCCAGCCTTCCCGCCAGCCTGGAGGGGGCACACACCCATGCGGGCGGGAGGAGGGGTCGGGGGGTGGAGGTCCTCAGCCCGACCGCCGGGCCCCCTCCCCCTCCGCGGGGCCTCCCAACGCCCGGCCCGAGCATTTCCCCGGGCGCGAGCGGGCGGGGGATGGGAGGAGGGAGGGAGGCCGCCCCCGCCTCCCCGGGGCCCCCGCGGCTCCCCGCCCGCCCGCCCGCCGGTGGCGCTGGGGCCGCCGCGCGCGGGCCTCCGGGAGCGCGCGCGCGCCCCCTGCCCCGGGCACGCGCGGCGCCGCGCACGCGCGCCACCAACCGTCGCCGCCGCCGCCACGAGACCGGAGGCGGCTCCCTCCCTCCATCCCTCCCCCAACCGTCCCCCTCTCCTCCGCTTCCTCCTCCTCCTCCTCCCTCGAGTCGTCCAGGCGCGCGCGCGCGCCCCTAACCGCCGCTTCTCCCCCTAGTCCCCGGTGTGTAACGGTGCCCTCCCCCTCTCCCCTCCCCCTTCTCCAGCCGGGAACCAGCCCGCGGAATCCTTCAGGCTCTTCTGCTAAGTTTACCATTTCGAGTTGTGCGTGAAGCTCTGTCGCACACACGCTCACGGCAGAGAATGGACCCAGCAAACACCCGGGCAGAGATCCCGCCGGCGACTGCTCTGGCGCACCGCGATTCAAACTGCGCTGTCTCCCGCCTTCCCCGCTCCCTTTATACTGCAGAATGTTCCCTCATCCGGGAACTCGGATCGCCCCCCGCACCAATGGCTGCCACTCGCCCTGGAGACGCGTCCTCGCCGCCTCAGCCAATGAGCACGAGAAGCAAGAGGACGTAGGGGCGGGCTTCTCGCCGCTCTAGCGAGAACTGGTGTCGGGGTGGGGGTGGGGGGGAATGAAAGGGAAGGCGAGAAGGAGGGAGGGGGAGAAATGGAGCAAGTTAAGGCGCTCAAGCGTAGAAGCGAGCCAGCCGGCGTCACGTGACTGGGGGCGGTGCGGAGGAAGGGCGCGCGCCGAGGCTCCCCGCCGGGGCGCCCGTGCATGCACGCTCCGTGCCGCGCCGCGCGCCCGCGGGCTCCGGCCCCTGGTGGGCGTGCAACGCTCCAGCCCGCTGATCCCCAGCCTGTACCCACCTCGCCGCCCCTCCCTCTACACCGCCCTCCCCACCCCCACGCCCTTGACTCTCAGAGCAGGCCAGCATCCCCTGCTCATCCAGCCAGACAGCCAGCGGGCTTGGAAAAGAGCCTTCCTCCGTCTCGATTAACCGTGGCAGGCTGGCGTTTCCGCGGCAAACTCCCCTCCCTTTGCAGCCAATAGCGGGCGGGTAGGTATGCACGAGCCGCAGCAGGGGGTCCCCGCGGAGCCCCAAAGGAGGGGGGAGGGAGTTGAAACAAAAAGCGAAGTGCGGCGTGAGGCGAACCTCTGGGGGCCCTGCGTGGAGCCGAGCCTGTGGCGCTTTTCTCCCCTCGACGACTGGTTGCGTGACCCGTGCATGTCAGCGGCTGGCTGACAGCTACGGACCGTCCGGGTGAGCC